CAGCTCAGGCATCTCAATCCTGCTGTGAAGGCCTTCCTGGAGATACCATAGTTCTCTGGAAGTAACACAACATATTACTGGGAAAAGTCTGCCCAGATTCCTGCATTTCCTTGAGTATCCTCCTCCTTTGTTTGTAAACCAAATAAATACAGGCTGCCCAGAGAAGTGTTGGTCTAAACTCAGAGAATGTGAAAGCTGTAAGAGATTTAGTCCCTCCTGAGGCCCTGAAATCATTTGTGTCATTTATTTAAGGCTTTGCTGTTCACTCACTTGGGAGATTGTAGGTCTCACTTATTTAAGACTTATTTATTAATTTGTCTCATTTATTTAAGCCTTCACTGTTCACTCACTTGGGAGATTGTAGGCCTCATCAGCTGGCACTAATTAAGGATTATTTAACCTGATACTTTATACTATACAGATTTAAATTTCCAAAACTATCATCATTCCAAAAATTTAAAGTTTTGCATGTTATAATAATATAAGGGAGAACTCTCCTAGCCCCATGCACGCTGTACTGAGTAAGCAAGTGCTCCGGGAGCTGCTGGACCCATGATTTGAGTCTGTGTTTGGTCCACACCGCCATGGTTCCCAGCTGAAACTCACAGGGAGAGCCAGGTATTTCCCAACTACTTCCTGAGGGCGCAGCGGGTGAACCAGGAACCCGCTGACATTACAGACTGAGTCTATGCTGTCCCCGTGCCCACGGCAGAGAGGAGGTCCTAAATCGAGGCCCCAGGGAATTCTCTGGCTGGGGGCGGGGCCTGAAGACTCTCCCAGCACCCTGCACCCTGCAGCGAGAGAGCGAGTGCTTCCGGAGCTGCTGGACCCTTGGGTTTGAGTCTGTGCTTGGCCCACACCACCACAGTTCCCAGCTGAAACTTGGGGAGAGAGCCACGTATTTCCCATCTACTCCCTGAGGGCAGGGCAGGTGAACCAGGACCCCGCTGATATTTCAGATGGGGTCAATGGCCTCCCTGCACACGCAGCAGAGATGAGGTCCTCACTCAGAAGCCCCAGGAACTTCTCAGGTTGCGGGTGGGGCGTGTAGACTCTCCCAGCCCCCACACATGCTGTGCCAAGTGAGCGAGTGCTCTGGGAGGTGCCGGACCCACAGTTCGAGTCCATGCTTTACCTTTGTCCACACCCCCAAAGGAGTTGAAGGCTGGGGAAGTCTGTGACTGCTACCCATCTGTGCTGCATCTGGTTCCTGTATGTGTCCTGAACTGACTGGAGACATAGATTCAGGTGGTTCACAAACTGTAGACCTGCAGTTTGTGTCTGAATTATGCCTGTACCCAGAAATGTTTGGGGAGATAGGTCCACTGGACCGGGATTATAACACCAGTGTAACCTGAGTCAGGTAGTGCACGTGCCATGAACTGCAAGGAGATGCTGGATCAGATGGTCGGCCATCAACTGACACAAGTGCCTGTGTCTGAGAGTGGGGATAAGTAGATACAAGTCAAAAACTGCCGGAAAACACAAGACTAAGTAGTGCTACTCAGAGGTCACTCAGGGGAAAACCTGAACAACTGGAAAACTAGGGACACTAGTAGTCTTGACTGAGCAGCTACTGAAGAGGGAAACTGAGCTTTGTGCATCTGGTAGCAAGCATGACAAAATGAAAGACTAAAACACAATCCCAGAACTCCACCCCAATCAGAACAATTCCAGAAGTCATCAACATAGGAGAACTTGGTAATCACATGCCTGAAATAGCTAAAATGATTGCAATGGCGGTAAAGAAACAAGTGTATAAGGCCATAGAAGAGATGAGATCAGGAATAATTTCTCAGGCAAAAAGTGAGATGACAAGAATAATGAAGGAAATGCTCAAAAAGTCTGAAGAAGAAATCTATAAGAAAATAGAAGAACAAAGACAAGAGTCAGAAGCGTTCAATGAAAAATATAAAAAGGACTTAGAACACATGAACCAGATTCTAAGAGACATCCAGGAAAACAAAGCTGCCACTGAAAGCTGCCAGAACCACTTGACTGAAGCTGAAGATAGAATCTCAGACTTTGAACAGCATGGCAGCTAGCGACCGTGAAAGGAAGGATCTTGTAAAATCAACAAGGATCCAGGAAAAGTCAATTCAACAGCTGCAAGGTGAGGCAAAGAGGAATAATGTGTGAGTTATAAGAGTCGATGAAAGAGGAAGAAGCACAACTGACATAGAAAGAATATATGCAGAAATATTAGCAGAAAATTTCCCAAGTATGGAAACAGAACCTGATATACAGGTAAATGACACATATAGAACTCTAACCAACCACAACCAAATTAAAACTACACTTAAACACACAATAGTCAAATTCCCAGATCTCCAGCAAAAGAACAGAATGATAAAAGCTGACAGAGAAAAGAAACAGATTACCTATAAAGCAAAGCCCATCAGAATCAGAGCAGACTTCTCAGCACAAACCATTCAGTCGAGAAGAGCTTGGAGTGAACTATTACAGGTCCTGAGACAGAACACCTTCCAACCAAGACTGATGGACGCTGCCAAACTATCTCTCAAATTCAACGGACAAATAAAATATTTTCACGACAAAGAACAATTGAAGAACTTCATGAGCACCAAGCCAACTTTAGAAAGATTACTAAAAGATATTCTAGACAGAGAAAAATCTGACCACAGTTTCAAGAACACTAGAAATGAAACGTCAAGAAGAGTAAACAAGAAAACAGGTAGAAGAAAAATGCAAAAAAATAAAATGACAATGATACATCAATACATATCAGTTGTAACTATTAATGTAAATGGCCACAATTCTTCAGTCAAAAGAAACAGACTGGCAGAGTGGTTTAAAAGCAATCTCCAATAATATACTGTATATAGAAACACATTTCACTGAAAAGGAATTCCACAGACTAAAAATCAAAGGATGGAAAATAGTCCTTCAGGCAACAAGAACCCAGAAAAAAGCAGGGGTATCTATTCGGTTTGCAGACCATGTAAACTTCAAACCGACAATAATCAAGAGA